ACAAACTCCCATGTGACATAGACGTTTATATTTTTTGTAAATTAAGCTACATTCTTCTCTCAGTTTCACCTCACACTACCTACCTACCAGTACTTTTTTTTTTTTTGTTTTTGTTTTTTTTTGTTGAACTTCGAGTAGCTGATACCACTTAGGGAGGTGATAAGAGCAGCCACCCTAAGTGAGTCCCTGGCTGAAGGCTCCATCTATTGGTGGGGAGCTGCACCTGCTGGAAACCGGGCCCAGCGTCCCTCATATTACAGGACATATCAATCAACGACTGACAAATGTTTGGACAACTGACATATGCTGGTAGAGTTCACTGTCCTTCCTGTTGCCTGTCCCCCCGAGGCGTGGTGAGGGCAGGTGTACCCGACTTGAGATGGCAGGGCTTTTGGGCCTTTTGTGTTTGCTGATGACAGGGAGTAGTAAGGTCGGTGCCAGCTGCGGCCATAGGGAGTCTTTGCAGAGTGAAAGGTGAGGTTTTCCCCCCCTTTAGCCCCTGTACCAAGGGGGGTGTAGCCGCCATTCCCATCTTTTTTTTTTTTTTTTTTTTTATAAGCAAAACCCCCCCTGCAGTGCTAGTGCTGCTGGTAAAAGCAGGCAGCACTAGCACCCGGGAAGAGGCTCCATCTATTACTGGGGAGCATCACCTGGTGGAAAACGGGTCCAGCGTCCCTTTTTTTATTTTTATTTTTATTTAAACGCTCCCCTACTAGTGTTAGTGGTGCTGACAAGAGCAGACACCACTAGCACCTGGGGAGAGGCTCCGTCTATTGGTGGGGAGCAGCACCTGCTGGAAAGCGGGTCCAGCGTCCCTTATACAGATGTGAAATGGAATACATGAGAAAAATTTATGGGGTATTCCTGTCGGCATTGATTACCCTGGGCTCCAGGGAATTGACCGAGCAGGCCGAGGGAAGGAAGGGGGAACCTATTTACCCTACTCCGGCGACAGATACATCTTTCTACCCTAGTCCCTCCCTTCCCCTGTGCACTAGCCGTGTTGTCTTTGGCCAACTAGCTCTCTCTCTCTTTGCTGTCGTAGACTGTTTCAAGAAGGACGTGGCCGCCAAGACCAATGCTTCTGCCGTTCAACCTCCTGTCCCCACGGGAGTGGGCATATCCTGTGAGTGTGGTTTTGTCCGGGGGGCACCGGACTGCCACCTCTTTTCTTTACGTGAAGTACTCAGTGAGGGAAAGGGGGTGGGGCGGGAAGGGGTCCGGGAAGGCAGCAGGGGGGCACAAAGGGAAGGAAGGATCGATGTTCAGCCAGTCTCCCTCTTCCTTTCTCTCTCTTGATGATCGTCTAAGCTGTCCCCTTCTCCACTCCATTCTACTTCTGCTATCCATCCTCCCCTTTCCCTTCCTAGCCAGTCCAGACGAAAGGAAGTGATTGCCTTCTTGATGTCGTTTTTCTGTTGGAATAGGTCCAGTTGTGGTCTCATTGCTTGCCATTTGCATGTTATTTCCGTCTGAATCTGTTGTTTTATTTGTTCCATGATCTCTGCTGCGTCAACTTGGACCTTATCTAGTGCAAGAAAACACCGTTGCCACCATAAGGCCCACAGCACCGTCCTCCCCCCCAACCTACACATATTGTCTTTGAAAGTGGGGATGTCTTCTGCTGGGTGCCAGTGGCCTGCCAGAATCGTTCGCCACAACCAGGGCCAGGGGACTGAGGCGCCCATCCTCCTCCAGATGCGTTCCCAGCTCCTCCAGATGAACTGAGAGACCGCGCACTGCATGAATACGTGCTCAATGGTCTCAGCTCTCTTGTGTGCTGTGTGCCGGAAAGGATTTAGAGCAGCGTTGGCACCATGGTAATAGTCCCCCCCTCTGTTCCAAAAATGTACGGTCCACCAGCCAATCATTCGTAGGCAGGCATCGGTGAACTATGTGACGACCAACCTCACACCCAGCGTGACTTCCTGATCGGAGTAGAGCGTGGGCCTGCAAGTGCCAAAAGGGTGTGCCAAGGATTTTTGGGAAAGTGGGGGTGGAGTCCCAGGTCAGAACTGAGATCTTCTGTGGCAGAGTTTTTCAGGGGCACGAGTGCCATTTGGCGGAGAGGGCGGACCGCCTCTGGTCATAAGGCAGATGGCATGCGCGGGTCACTCAAGGCCGGGCGAGCCATTGGTGCCGAGGACAGCGGTTCGTCGGAAGGTCCCTTCGGGGTGGGTGGGGTTCTGATGAGTCGGGCCGTCGGGAGTTGCCACGTGGCGCCGGTCGTCGCGTGTTCGGGTTAGGCCTTCAGAACTCCAGGGTCCTCTGGTCGCCGCATCGTCGGCAATTTCCGCAAGGCGTGCTGGGCCAGTATGGGGTTATGGCCTTCCACGGGACGACGCTGAGTTGGTGATACGGAAGAAGAAGACGGAAGGGAGGGAAACAGGTGGAGATAACGACAAATCGTGGTCCTGAGTGGGGAAATCAGAGCACCGGGGGTCGCTAGTGGTGGCGCAGTGAAACTCCCTCGGACACAGTCAATTCTCGGTTACGCAAGGGTATCTCTGTCGGAGGCCTTCCGCTATCCATGGGGTGAAATAGTCCGGATCATACAACAACGACTCCGAGCTCTCTGAGTGGGTCATTATGTCATCGCAGAGTTGCGAGATGCCTACGGGCGTGTTTGTGGTTATGGCGGTCACCACGTGTGAGCACGTGCAGGCTGCGCGAATCAAGTCGCGCTTACACGTGTTCGCACGGGATGACTGCTTCAACGCAGACCCTGGATCGCCGTATCCAATCAGACAATACTTTTGCAATTGTCGAATCGACGCACGGGGACACGTGTAAAGGCGCAAATCTGGTCGCGATTACACGCGTCTTCGCGCGGCGTTCGCTGGACCAGGCATCCGATTGTCTAATCACTCCGTAATTTTTTAGCATGCCATAGGCAACAACCACAACAACCTAATCAAAAGATAAGCAAGAACGAGAACAGGATTACCGATTGCACAAAAATTCCTATCCTACTCATGAGTGCATCAAAGGCAGTAAACAAAGGCAAAGGCAAGAATCCGGTAGAAAGACAAGCAACCAAACATGGCATCCATACATCCATTCATTCAGCAACATACACACAGTGCATCTGATATGGAAATCGCGAAGACAAGCGTGAGCAAAAACCCAAGTCCAGATTCCGAAAAACAAAAACGGCTATATCACCCGGTGCCGAAATCAAAATTTAAGTACACGAGACAGGAGGGAGAGAAGATAAAAGAAACAGCAAATCCGCGTCCATCAACCTCAGCTCCCTCTTCCTCTCTCTCTCTCTCCGATGCGGACAGTCCGTCGTCGCGCACCAACCCACGAAGCCGTCACCCCTCTTAGTCCTCCCACACCCGTCAAGTTCGCCCGCGCCCCCAGTCCGTTGTGGCCCGCGTCAACCCCGCGCGTTTGGCACCAGCTCATTGGGTCGCCCGACTCCTGCTCTACTCACCTCTTACTTCACTCGTGTGCCAACCCTCTCTGATCGCGCAACCCCGAGCTTCCAACAGCTGGTTAAGAGAGCTAACTTATCGCACAGCCGGAATTTATAGCGTGCCTACATGCGCGAAGAGCACGAAATTACAAAGACTTAGAAAGAAGATTAGAGAGGGAGCGCCTGCGTTCTGCATGACCGGGCGGCGGCCGTGGGGGACGTAGCCGCTCTCCACGCATCGATCCGATCATGCAGACCGCGACTACCAAAAACACAGCAAAAGAAAGAGAAGAGGGGCGGGAAAGACGAAGCACAAGAAGAAAGATACAATTACAATGGTGCCAGCCCATAATTACAGTTACACACCTGATTAAAGGCGCCGACTAATCAGAATTCCGTTGCAGCCGCATAAAGAAGCGCGTAAGCAAAAAGCGTCGCGCGGCAAAAGAAAGTCCTAATTACAAAATTCCTAAATTCCTATCTAATGCAAAAAAGCAAAAAGCACAAGTTCCGGAAAGAAAGTCCGAAATTTCGAGAGCCATCGGGGCTCGACAAAATTCGAAAAAGAATTCAAAAAGAAAATTAAAAAAGAACGAAGCAAATTCCCGCGCGATGTCCACGCCCAAATTCCAAAACCGAACAAAAGAAACCACGTCAATAGTTATTAATTGCGCGCATGACAGCGCGCCAGCCATTCAACCGACCAATCAATCACCCGTCCCGGGACACGCCCAGTTCCGAACCCCACCATCGAAAAAGGAGTCGACGAAAAAGACGAAGAAGCGAGGGTACTGATGCAATTTCCCACTGATCCCGATCTCCCGTAATTGGCCTAACCTTCCCAGCTTAGGACCCATCATTGCAATCGCGCAGAAAGTCGCGCGCTACAGAACATGGTTCGTCACATATATGACGCCCAGGGGGTTCCAATAATAGCAAGTTCCTGCTTGCTTGTTGACGCGTGTCCATCTCTCTAATCGATCGACATGCGGAGCTCTTCTCTCTATGCCACTTACCGTTCGAAGGAGTGTGGACGTCGTCCAACGTGGTAACACAACTCTACTACTAATTCCTCAGGGAGGGTCATTGACAATCCAAGGAGGGGATTACATGTGTCGTCATTACGACGTGTGGCCATCAGTCATACATCAGCGAGCGCCGGGGAGGGGAAAGGGGAGACGGTACATGGAGGGGTGGCGAGGGGGAGGGTTGATTGGTAGCGAGGGAAGGAAACTCTCCATTCCGTCCACCGTCCCCAGAAGTTCCTGATAGCGAAGGATCCGGTGAAAGCGGGGGAATCGGTTGCCCGTGTGGGGGAGGGACACGAGGTAGTCGGGGTAGAGGGTGGTAAAGGTTCGGAAAAGCGCCGCGTGGAAGTGATCGTGGTTTTCGCATGTGGGGATAGTCCCCGTAATCATGCAGTATACCTCGATCATATTGTGGCCTCGCCACGCGGCACTAAGGAAAAGGATATGGAGGCAAAAGACAGGGAGGGCGCATCGGGTGGAAGGGTGGGGATGAACAATGACAACGAGGCGGGTAGTGTAAAAAAAGCGGAAGGTATCGATGGGGAAGGGATTGTTGGGGAAGGTGACGCGAGTGGTAATCTGGCGGAAAGAGAGGTGGTCAAGGGGACGGCGGAATAACGACCGGGGACGAAGTCCGATGTCCCGCATCGGTACGTGGACGAGTTGGTGGGCGGTCGGTGGCGAAGGGGGAGGGGGATCGGCTTCGTCGCCGTTTTGCCGGTGCGGCCGAAGTCTCGGCAGCTATCTCTCCATCCTCGGGCTTAGGAAGCTCTGGATCCCGGGCCGGATCGTCGGTAAGCGGCTGGCCGGCTGTGCTGGCGAATTCCAACTGTCGCTTCCCGACCGCGATCTCTTCCTTCTTCTGCGCCTGGGCCTGCGCCCGAGCCTCGTCGCGCACTTCCTCCTCAATTCCTTCCCACTCGGACTCCTCTAACTCCTCCTGGTCTCCTTCTTCTTCCTCCTCATCGTCTTGTTCTTCTTCCTCCTCCTCCTCCTCACTTTGCTCACCTTCGCTGTGCTCACTGTAACTCCCCTCTTCGGGAGTTTCTTCCTCGTCGGCCTCTTCTTCGGCTTCTTCTTCTTCCGAGCTTTCTTCTTCTGCTTCAATCTCTTCCTCCTCGTTCTCGGAGGCCGTTCGATCTTGAAAGAAGGCGAGATCGACTATTTCGTGCGGGTCCAGATAACCTCGCCGTGACGATGGGTTGCGGCCGCTTCCCGGTTCCTCCAAGCACGCCGACCATTGAAGATATGGCGCCAAGGTCCGTGTGAGAACGTGCGGAACTGGGTTGTCGTCACTTTGTGAGACGATCTCAAGTGGGAGATCGTCGGCCAGCTGTGCAAGGGGGACCGTTAGCTCCTTCACGATCAGTTGGCGATGATCGGGCCGCGCCGATCTGAAAAGGAATCTGAGCAGATCGCCCTCCACTCCCGCTCGCCACGCCTGGATGATAAGCAGCTCAAGGTACTCGGTCCACTGGCGGTGATCCCCGTGCCGCATCCACGTGACCTTTACTCCGACCAGACACACTGACAGCTCGGCGAAGTGCTCTTGCCAACGCCTCCACTGCTGGGGATCAAGGAGGGGGACGGCGAGCGATTCTAGGCAAAAGGAGAGATGTGGATGGACTCCGGATTGCCAGAAGGTGGGAAAGAAGGAAGGGAGGTCGAAGGTAGAGATTGGGGACGGGTTCATTGAGGACGGGGGAAGGGGATGAGCTCAGGGAGCACCACCACCGGCTCGTGCTGGAAAGCTCGGATCCCGTCGAGGTCGACGCCGTCCGTGGGAAAAAGATTATCGCCATGGGGCGTGACCCAGCGATTCCACTCTGACGCCAACTGCTGCGCCCACATCCGAAGCGTCGTCTTGATAGCTGTATGCCGTAGCGGGCTGATGGTGCTGATGTCGGCACTGAAGGCGACAACCGTAGACACGTGGCTGATTCCAGGAGCTGATCGCCGATGAATTGCTACCGCCTCCGCCAACACAACTGCCCGGGGACTGCCTGCAAAGCGAACCTCAGCAGCTGTGTACACTCCCTGGGTACCAGAGGTCGCCGAACCAATTTTTTCTCCTACCCACATCCGACCCAGTCCAAGCCTGGATATATCACATGTACCCGCACCCACTGCCACCCACGTAAATACAATTTTTTTTACCCAGACCCAGCCCACCCAAGCTAGTTATATTTGTTTTTACTCGTACCCAGCCTACCCAGCATCTTCAATGGAACCCTTACCCCTACCCAGCCACACCCAGGCCTAGATTTAATCCACCCGCATCCACTTGCACCCACGACCAATTTCCATCCACCTGTGCCCGCCCGTATCCATGCCTAAAGTTTACCACCCAGCATGCCCTTCTTTTCTTCCGTAATTTCGAACTCAGGTCATTGTCATTACATGTTAGAAATTCACCCTCTTTCAATACGCTTGCAGTGCAAAGAACGAACGATGAGACAAATGTGCTCTCTCTCTCTCTCTC